GTGTGTGTATGTTGAGGACACTGGAAACGGGGGGAAGGTTGACTGATGTCAGTGGCCAAGAGCACCGCCGTTCACCTTGAGTAGAAAGAAATAAAATTAATGATTTGCGTGTGTAAAATGTAGAAATGAAAAAAAAAAGAAAAGAAAAGACCATCTAGAGTTTGACGTGTCATTTTCAAAAGGTTAAAATGAAGGGAAAAAAATAAAATGTGAAGCCAGACGTATTTCAAAAGCATGTGCGTCTTAAAAAATATATATATGTAAGGGCAATTATGCTTCTCTCAAGCCTCGTGCTTTGAGTGAAATTTTTCAGCGCTGGAGCCGTAAAACGAACAACCACATTTCAGATTAATAATTTTCTGACGCCCATTAAACGCGGCGCTTCTCGTCTGAGCTTGAATATCAGCGATGCTTGAATTTTCTATGAGTCTGACCTCTTGAACAATCAGATTGACCTTGTCTCAACAATAGGCTGAGCCTCACTCAGACCCATGACAGCCACAAAGGCAACGCCAATGAGAGGTTTTAGGATAAATCCCCGCTAAACAACCAACAATGAATATATTAGAAGGTATGGCCAACGGTCACGTTAACATTCAAGGTGGTTTAAGAGGAGCCTGTGTGTTGGCTCTGCTGTGTTTCCTTGTAAATGCTGAATGTTGTTTGTGTTTAAAAATAACAGGAAAATGTGCAGAAAGCGTGTGAGGAACGCAGCAGAACCACAACTCAGACGGATCTCATATTTTCCATGATCACAGCTGTCTACGTACGCGTCCACCTGCATTAGCTCGACGGCGGCTTGACGTGATAACACTCGAGAGCAGGTCTAGCAATTGCTAGCAGCCGCATCACGCGTGTGCACGTACACGCCGTTGAAATTAACAGAATCAGGCCTCCTGGACCGGTTCACACAGGAACGAAAGAACAGAGGAGATGGAAAAGGAGGGAGCAAATAAACAGAAGAGAGGAAGAGCAAATACAGTAGAGGAAAGCAGGAGAACAAGGGAGCAGCAGCAGCAGCAGCAGATGGAGCAGATACGAGGGCAAGAGGACGACAGCGAGTCATCCCGAGCCAGGTGTAGAAGGAGAGCTGTAGCAGGTAGGCGGCGGAGATGCAGGAGTTGAGCGGATCAGAGGCAGAGCTACAGAAAAATAAACGGGAAAATCACATGAAACAGTAAAAAGGTTGAAGGTTTTACATGAGATACACTCAGAGGGGGGGAGATGTGGATGCTTGTAGTGGAGCCAAATTCAGATTTTCAGTTAATTAACGTAATAAATACAGGATGCAGGCTCACATGTAGCATTTTCAACATAAGAAACGAGGGTTTGATGTCGACAAATTGGCCCAACATGTTCCTGTTTGTGGAGGGTTCCAGATTTGTGGAGGGCGGCGTTATGGTGGGGTTGACTGGGGGACAAACTAGACCCACATATATGACCATTTAAAAAAGAAATTTCAAAGTAAAAGCTTTAATTATTCATCAACCTTAATGCTCCGATTATAATCAACTGACTCCAACTGCAACAAAAAAAATATATATAGGAGTAAAACATATTTCTTAAGTCTGTGACAGTAAAATATTTATGAAAAAAAAAAAAGGAGATTCTATAGGTGCCCGTCTGGCCGCTGAGGGCAACAGACTGTGCAGATGATATGTGATGTATGAGATGTGTGTGTGTGTGTGTGTGTGTGTGTGCAGCTCTACAGCCTGTTCAGGTTAATTGTAGTGCTGCCTGCCAGCTCAGTAGTATAATGATAGCGCTAGTTTTCTACGGTTCCAGGCCTCCATATAAAAAAAAAAGACAAATACCTCCTCTTGTCTCACACACACACCACACACACACACTAGTAGGCAGTGAATATTGACCTGCACCTCTGCGGGGCTAAAAACAGAACTAATCACTACAGCAGTCATAACTCCTTCTTTGTGGTGACTCCTTTCTTTGCACTCCTACTGCCTTTGACTATTGGTATTTTTCTCCACCATTACCCCTTATTCGCTCTTTCATCCTTTCACCCATTTACTTTTTCATTTGCTCTCTCTCTCTCTCTCTCTCTCTCTCCTCCTTCCTCTCTCATAAAAGTTGCTCTCTTCCCCTTCATCTCTTTCCATCTTTCTCTTTTATATGCCCTCCCTTTAAACACACAAGCAAACATGATAAAAGTTGCACACAGGAAAAAAAATAAAAAATCAGTTGCTGTAGCTCAACACACAGGTTGGTAATAATTCAGTTTCATCAATTAAGCTTTTTTTTTTAATAACAGAAACATCAGGCGCTGCCCCCTTTTTAATGGCTTTCTTGTAAAATGTTGCACAGGTCTACACATTTAAATCATCCTGAAGCAAAAAAAAAAGAAAAAGAAATGAAGAGATGTAAAGAAATTAGGAGCTGACGGATGAAAGCGAAGGTGAAGGGCTTTATAGCGCTTATGCGGTCCAGGTAGAAGAGGGGGGAAAAAGAAAATGAGGGAACAAACAGACAAGAGAGAGGGAAAATGCGTCACGGGCGCCTAATGCATCTTGGGATAGCTCGCGTTGCGTGGGTGGGAAAGCAGACATGGAGGGAGGGGAGAGAAAAGGCGCCATTTTGATGTTGATTCAAAACCGTTCCCGCTTTTCTTTTGTGCGTGCAGTTTTTTTTTGTTTTTTTTTAACCCTCCTTTTCTTCTTTTGGCTTTTCTGTCTTTCACGCAATTATGACGGTCATGTGAGGGGGATGAGCTATCCATCTTTCTGCTAAAAAAAAAAAAAAAAAAAAAGCTGGTGTGATCCGTCGACCATGGGGGTTTTGTTGTGCTCGTAGGAGAGGGAGAGCGAGATAGAGAAAGACAGGGAGAGAGAGAAAGAGAGGGGGTGGGGTCTTTCAGTCGAGGGTCATCAATCACCGGCTGGGGTCAAAAAGAAATGCGAAGGATTCAGAAGCAATTATATCTGCCTTCGCTGCACCCCCTCTGTACGCACACACACGGCGACGCGCACGCCGGCGTGTAAAGCGAAATTAGTTCGGGGCGACGTTTTCAGGAAACCTGACGAACGCCAACCAGGAGAGGCTCGAGATATAAGCAGGACGTGTGAAGCAGAATCACATGTGAGAATCTTAAATTTCTGAACTTTGTTTACTACGTGGACGCACAAACACACACACCCTCAGAGGTCAGCTGGTGCAGCAAGGTCATATCAGGCTGACATTCTCCGTTCTGGTCAACTTTTGTCTTTCAGTCGTCGTGGTAACGTCACCACCGTGGATGAACGGCCTTTGTTTCGTCAAATACCAAAGACGCATATTTCTCTTGTTCATTCGCTCTGTGACACACACACACACACACATATAGAATAAAATCACAAGACATTTTAAGCTCTCTGCGATTCACAGGCGACACTTTTACTCTCCTTATTTTCTAAATGACTCCGGTCCTAAGCTGAGTGTGGGAAATAAAAATGCGGCTGCAGGGTTTTCCCTCCTCCAGGTGGAGTTTCTAACCTGCGTTGGAAGGAACCTGAACTCCTCTGCAAAATAAAATCGAATCAGTTGAGATTCTGGGGAGCAAAACTTTTAATAAACTAAAAACAAAGGCTGCAGAAATTTAAAAAATAAACGCTTCTGTCACCCAAGTCCTCTCTTGCAACCCTCAGAAGCAACATAAACGTCCCTTTACTACCTGTACCGCCCTCCCTTCACACACATGTACATCAGCATTAGGCTGCTTTTACAAGTAAAAAAAACCTGAAAGGCCAAACAACAGACAGAGAAACAGAGAAGCACAAAAGGAAAGCTATTGTGTCTGCAGTTGCTTTAAATGTGAAGTGTTAAAACTGAGCTTGCATCAGCGTTGAATATCGACCAGTCAATTTGCCAGATTTTCCTGTTGGCACACTCGTGTCAGCAAAAACAAGACTTATTCAGAATATCAACTAAGATAAATCTGAAGTTACAAAATTCTGCTGTTGCACTGTTATGTTCTATCAGCAGGTAAAATCCAGGAATATTTTTAAAAGACACCTCATGGAACATTCATTTGCCTGTTGAAGTGGCAGCACACTGTTCATATCGGCCACTTCTACGTTCACGTTCCTTCATTTAGACATGCAGTGACGGAGAGAGCCACGATTTAAAGGTTCTGCTAATAAACAAAAGACACCTGAACCAATAACACGCCAATCCAACTTTCCAGAAACTCTGGCCAACAAGTTTACGACTCAACGACCGCTCTACAATGTTAATTTTGAAGGTGGTAATAACGATGCCACAAACACAACAGATGACCTGGGCGACTTTCTTCTTGTTCCTTCACGACCACGTTTCTTGTCAAATCTATGTGTGCAGTTCAGATGTGTGTTGTGTTGAAACTGATACGTTCATCCATTATCTATACACAGCTTAATCCTCACTAGGGTCATGGGGGCTGGAGTCTATCCCAGCTGACTCAGGGTGAAGGCAGGTTCACCTGGACAGGTCACCAGTCTATCACAGGGCTACACTTAGAGACAGACAACCAAGCACACTCACATTCACACCTACGGACAATTTAGAATCACCAATTAACCTCAACATGTTTCTGGACTGTGTGGGAGGAAGCCGGAGAACCCGGAGAGAACCCACGCTGCACGGGGAGAACATGGAGACTCCACACAGAAAGATCCCTGGTGTCCTCACCGGGACAAGAACCAGCGACCTTCTTGCTGCGAGGCAACGAGGCTAACCACTGAGCCACCTTGCAGCCCTGAAATTGATGCATATATGTTGAAAAGCCCCACTTAGTACCGTTGCTGGCTTTTACAGAAAAGTGATTCTCATTCAGACGTGAAGTCGACTCCCTCAGATCACTTTATACTTTAGATTATTGGCAATTATTTCTTATCAAGTAGCAATTCCGACTACACTCTTGCACAGCCAAATGTTCCCTCTGACAGGATTCCACATTCTACAGAAACCAAGATGGTGCTTTCTTGTGCTGAGGATTGGCTGATCACGATGATTTAACACAAAATCCATTTGGAAAATTTACATAAAATTTCAGAGTAGTTGTTTGACAGTCAGATGTGTTGGATGTTCAGGCATTCCTCTGTGAACACATAACGCTGGTCTTTGTGATTTGTAGTAAACGAACACGCATTAACACCGGATTGGTCCTTTAAGGAGGAATTCTAAACACACTCTTCACTCGGGTTTCTGGGGATTAAGCTAGTCCCTTCACGTTGTTTTCGGACTGTTAAAAAAGCTTTACGGCTGTAATTATGACATGCAGGTGACAGATGATACTCACAAGGTTCCGATTGGCTGGGAAGAGTCACATGGTGTTCCTTCACGCCGTTGAAAAGCAGCTCCGCTCCTCCTCTAGACAAAGAAAAGAACAGAAATAAAGCATCTGTGTTTGTTTAGAAACTTCATCAGAGTGGCTTTTTCTGCAACTACAGAGTAATTCATTTCTTCCAATAAACTTGAAATTTTACAAAAAACACAATGAGGCACTGTGGCACTGGTCCACAGGACACAACTAGTGGCCCGAGGTGAGTTGAGAGAACTGGAAAATGAAATGCTGTTCAATACCGGCAATAACTAACCCCGATTTGTTCTTCTTATAATAGTCAGTAGTCCTTGTATTGTTAAATCTGCTGGTAGAATGAGTCTGACAATGTGCTTTTTCACCCTCAGGATGTACAGATGAAGTAGTCGATGAGCCTTTCTATTCTGTTTATTGAACTTTCCAGAATATTTGGTCATTCAGAAGACATGAATTAATTTCCAGAACTTTCATTGTCCAGATTTGTTGAAGTAAATGCTGAAATGTAGCTACACTTCCTATTTCTGCACGTTCAGCTGACCAATTGTTTACAACAGTAATAGATTAACTGTACAATAAAACACTGTTGCTATAATTAGCATCAAATTAAAAACAACTTCACAGAAACCTTAGGATGCTTTTAAAGTTATATATCAGCTTATTTCCAGGAAAACTATGAGGCATGTGAAATAATTTATGGGAAAATGACACTTTTTAATGCTTCACTGTTTGGCACAAGTGGAAAGTAACTAAGTACATTTACTTCATAAGTAAAAATTTGGGGTACTTCTACTTGACTGGGGTATTTCTACTTTACTTTATACTTTCACTTCACTACATGTCAGGAGTTATAATGTACTTTCCATACATTTAATTGACAGCTGTAGTTAATTATAAGATAAAGCCTTTGGACAATGACTAATATGGTAACAAGCTTATAAAATACAACACATTGTCAAAGATTCAATTAACACTTTTCAAATATATTTCCGATGTCTCTGGGTTCCACCAAATTGTGGTTTGTCCCTCCTAAACTTTGTAACATGTCTTCATTTCAACAAACCAAGAAAAAAAACGACAACAGATTTGTGGACTGAAACTCTTTTGTCTCCCATTAATCATGTGACAGCCCCTCACATTGATCTTAAACTGAATATAAAGTAGTTCAATTTAGCTTCACCTGCAGCAGTCAGATGCAGTTAGAGGGACAAAACCAGAACCTTTAATACTTCAACTAAATCTTGGTGTTAATTCTTGTTTATATTGACCTAAGCAGGACTTTTCATACAGGACTCTAACTCTTCTATTACTGCTGTTTTGGTTCTGAAAGGCATTAAATAGTGGCTCGCTGCAGGAAAGTCATTATTTCACTGAACAATGTGCTGCTGATACTTAGAGGACTAATTCCTGCGTCTCATGTAGAAGCCTGTCATGCTCCGAGATGTCAACTTGTGTGTTTATCAGTGAAACCAGTCAGCTGGCAGCTCGGCTCACTGCGGTTCTGTTCAGTTCTGCTGCTCGTAGCGAAACACAAAAGCGTCTCCGTCCTGTCGACACACTAAATGTGTTGAGCTAACACACGAGCCCTTTGTGTGTCCGCTACAAAGACACAAACACGCAGGACAAAGCACCATAAAGGGTTTTTAAATCCACCTACCCAAACTCCAGATGAACCGCTATGGGAGCCGCCATATTGTCGGCACGTGAAGGAAGCGCCGGAGGCTGACGCCGGAAGTGACGTGTTTAAAAAAACACAAGTTGTGATTGGCTGTGAGGGGATTTAACATAACGGCATTCTGTGAATAAACTTACATTTGTTTATGAATAAAACTAAATTATAAAAGTAAAACACAATGTACTCGGTAGGAATACATTTATTTTGCAATATTACAATGTGAGAAATGTGAACACTGTTTGTTACACTGGATAATCATCTGACCCAATTGTTTTTGTTAAACAAATAAAAAAAAATAGTCATAGATACACACGGTTTAACGGTAGAGGTGCTTTTCTTGACTCACCTCTTTCGTAAAAAAAAAAGGAGTCTGAATACAGAATAATCAAGAGATACAAGAAAAGTTAAAGATTTTATTTATTGGGTAATAATCATGATCTAGTTCTTGACTGAATTACATAACACACAGGGGACTTTTTGATTTACCAACATGTATAGATAACATTACAATCACCCATGTGACACATAAACAACATCATGATTCCTGGAAGTTGCTTTAATCATAACAACAACAAAATCCTGCGATGAGGAAATAATATCAGCAATAACAGCAACAATGAAGATGAAAGAAGGACAAATTACAGGCACTGATTTTTGCCTTTTCATGTCTGCAGCTTGCAGCTATTTTTATCTCAACATCACCAGAATCCAAGGCACGTTTCTCTTGATATTGTCACACACTATATATATTTTGACCCATGAATCACACCTTATAGTGTCTTTGTTGGTACTGCACAGCTTTACATGATGCACTGCTTTTTCTGGTTTCAGCTGTGACACACACATACACCACATTGACATTTTTTGATGTATATTTTATTCTTCATGAAAAAAAAGCACTTATTTATTTTGCTTGTTTGTTTGCTTTGGAAAAATACAGAATACTTTAAAATATGTCGTATGTCAAAATACAAGTGCATAACCATTTAAGCAATTTGGACCATGTGTTTACAGGGTTAGGGTTTTTTAAGGTGGTTTTTATGCTTGTGGACCTATATAACCACACAAGCTCAACGTCATGATGGTAAACAAGTAGACGATTGAAAATTACAATATACGAGGAAGGTTCATTTGTGATAAGATTGACTAGATAGTTTTGTAAACCTCCACCGTGTTGCTAAGTTACTTTTATTTTAATGAAATTAAAAGACACTTTTGAGAAAATTTGTGAAAGATATTTAAACTTAAATGTCTATTAGATGCCTGGCAGTATTATAAAAACTTCAGCACATCTTCTGTGTGAACATATTCAACGTTTTGTTTCTCCTGAGCTCTCACTACCTCGTGGACTTCTTGTTGGTGAAATTATTCGCTGCACTTCTTTCTAGGCCAAAATCTCTGCAACTACTAAACTTCAGAATGGTGTTTCTATTTAAGAACTAGCATCCCCTTGGACTTGACTTTATTTTGGAGAATGATCACAATGGAAGCTCGTCAGTTTAGCTCTCTCTCACACCCTCTAACTCTGCATTTGCATGTCTGCGTGCGTCCCTCAGTGTAAGAGTGTGCAGAGGCATGACTTCAGTGTGTGAACGCACATCTGTCCCTTCTATCCCTCTCTCTCCCTTCTTCCATACGTCCTCAATCATACGGGTGACAGTTCCAGTCCCAGTATACAGGGCGGCGGAGGCTGAGGTGGGGGGTGGGATGGTGGATGGTCAGGGGGGTTTGAATTGCAAATCTGCTGCCTTCTGTTGGCGTCCAAGCCTTCGCAGGCCCTTCCTTGTCTTTATTCATGTGTTAATGAGGAGTCAGTGCAGGGGCAGATAGACAGATCGACCAGGGGCCTGGCGGGTGCGAGGAAATATGAGGCGTGGGTGAGGAGGCAGGCGGGAAAAACGAGGGACGAGCGGACGGCTGCAGTGGAAGTTTTGAAAGATAATGAAGACGTGATGAGTGCGATTACTGGATGCCGGTCTTCTGTAGCGGCTGGAGCTGAAGAGCATCCTCACGAGTGAAAAACAGTCATGGGGCGAGCTCAGAGGGAGGCAAAGAGGCAGAAGACGAGGTGTGGGTGGGATTTTTTTACGGTCGCAAGTTTCATGGTTACAGATTGTGTTAGCCGGGAATGATCACACCATCGCTGCGTGTCATGTCACATTTGCTAAGCTGTGCTGAGGTACAGCTGTTTAGAATGGTCGTTTCTATAGCGTGCTGAAGGATCGCTTTTGTATTGTTGCTTCAGTATACATGTTTAACACTGATATTGATATAGATACATCCTCTGGAAGATCATGTGAAAAGGCTTTTGTGTTTTCAAAGCTGAGAAATATCTTCGTATACATGTCTCTGCTTTCATCACCTCATGCCAATATTCACCCTATAAATTACAATTTCACAATTACAATACTAAACACATGAGGCCAAACAACATTATTTGATTACTTTTGTGGCAAACAATGCATTTTCCCCAATTATTTTCTGTCTTTAAATTACACTAAATTGCAAAATTCCTTCAGCTCTCGCCACTCAACCAAAAGTCGGACAGGATTTTAGACATCGAGGAATCTCACCTTCATGCACATTAACAGCCTCAAATCTGCTAAAAATCAACAAACAACGGGGTCAGGTTTTAACCCCCTCCCCAATATCTGCCTGTAGATGGACAGCAAACGTCAATGCTACGCTGCCAGGCTCCAGCTATAGAGCAGCCAAGGTCACACATGATCAGATGACAATGACCAACACAACGGATTAGCTATAGAAGGACTGGGGGGAGAGATTAGGGGTGAATTGATGACGGTTGGCTGGCTGGCTGGCTGGCTGGCTGGCTGGCTGGTTGTCTTGCTGGCTGGCAGGCCTGGGAGATCTTGGGTCTGTTTCAATAAGGAACATAAAGAGCTGAAATTAACATGTACCATGATACCAAGCAGAGAGAATCCTCTTAGAGATTACATCCATAACATGCTACGCCTATGGAAAGGCGGAGACAAAGACTTGGGCAAATGATAATTTTCTATTGTGGCAGATTATGGGGGCATCCTATCCCATTTGATTCCATTGTATTCCTTTCTCCTCCACGTTCTCTTTTTCTCGGGATAAATTTGGCTTGGAACAAACTTGACCCCCCTCTCCTCAGCAGAACAGCTGCCAGGCCGCACTACTGCCTCCTTCATGAGGGGAGTAAGCAGCAACAGCAGTATTCCTGAAAACATCTGTGTTTTGGTGCAAACACACACACACACACACACACACACACACATGTTGACGAAAGCACACGTTGACGCACAAACACACGCGTGCACACATGCGGACACACGGACACGCACACACTCCATCTGTCTTCCCTCCCTCCCACTGCCAACACCGCGGGTCTGTCTGCAAAACAATGTGTGATGCTACACACAACACGCATGCTCCAATGGTACATTTTCAAGCACAACACCACAAACATGCTTGCATTTTTTTTTCCACCTATGAAGATCATTGGAAGCACTAACAGGTGAGCTGAAGTGGCCAGAATTGTGCAAACGAGTAGATGTACGATGGAGAAAACGGGATTTTTCTGTCTACTTGATGAGGAACCAATAAAATTCAGGAGGTACTGCACTGCAGCTACGTAAACCTAAACTGGATCAGGAGCTGGATACATGATGTGGGGTAAAGATAGCAAAGTATACATCAGAGAAGGGCCAGCTTTGGTTTGACAGTGAAATGCTGCCCCCTACTGGCTGCCACTCTGCATTACAGGAGAATGGCTACTAAAAAGACAACTTCCTTTAAGTTTTATACTCATCGCTTCTAAAACGGGCAATTATCTAAAAGTGATGGTGGAGTTTATATAAGTACACTTTGGGGCTACATCAGGGCAGCTCAGCGTCCTCTTCGTCTATTCCTGAGAATTCCCGTAAACATTTATATCGCTTATTTTCTGTGGTGGAATGTTTTCCTGAAGTAAAAGGAGCAATACCACGATGTAGAAACGCTCTGCTGCAAGTTAAAGACGTGCATTCAGACTTTTTCTTAAGAAACTATTCAGAGATTTTAGATTTTAAATACAGAAGCACTCAATATGTAAAAAAAATCATTTAAAAAAAAATGAGGTTATATGTGTTTTATATGCAGGCTGCTGCATTGCAACTATAAAACTTTATTAAAAAATATTCTAAACCAGTGAATTTGTATTCTTAGCACAGCAGTTTGGATTTTACTTCAATATATATATAAAAAAGAAGTAAAATCTATACTAATTGCATTCCCTTACAGATTTAGTTTGACTGAATTTGATTTAAATTTGTTATATTCACCTGAATCTGCAAAAATAACTGTAGCGGTTAGAAACTGCAAAGCAGCAAAAAAGTACAATATTTTTATTTGGAACATTATGGAGTCGAGAACAAAAGCTACAAACAGTTTTTGAGAAAATGTACTTATTATTATTGCATCGCTTGCTTACTTTAAGGGGTAACTTTGGAAATATTTTATATTTTAAGATGAAATTTAAAACAATAAATGTGTCCATTTGTGACATTCAAGCCTGAGTTTATTTGTTCCTTTAGACAAATCTGTAAATCTTTTTTAAAAAACTCACAGTTTTGTTTAACAATTTTCTAAAACATCTCATCAAACTGCAGCTGCACCTATGATAGAATTTATAAACTGACAGATTGACAGATGATGCGCTTCAATTATTTTTTTATTGGGTTGTTAATAAAGTTATTTATCAAGCAAAGATTTTAAACATTCCTGCTTGTCCATGGTTATGATTTACTGGTTTGTTTTTTTGTCAGACAAAACTATTGGCTCGTCAAAAACATCCAGAACTAGCATGGCATTCATAATAAATCATTTAATGGCTTCAGTCACAGATTTGACGCTCTGGTGAGTCTTAACTGTGCTGCTACAGACAATACCAGCGATGTCCTGAACAAAGAATCCAACTCATTGACACAAGCAATCATTTTATTTGAAAAAAGTGAATTGCTATGTACAGTACGTAAAAAAACATGAGATCGGTCCTAAATCGTTTCTCGTCTTGTTTTTGTTTTTTTTGCTTTTCAAGTTCATCTCATACAGTCCTGTTGAACACAACAGGAGGATCCACGCGCTGTCAGAGCATTCCTGTACATCATTCAACAGAGGACAAATAAAAACATTTCACATCATCATCATCATCATCATCATCATCATCATCAGTGTTACCTGACCTAAACCAGCAGGCATCCTCTTGGTCTCAGAACACACCGTACATGTGTTAAATCTCTACATGTCTTCAGCATTATAATTAATGATTCTGATTTTTTTTGCTGACTAAAGCGCCCCCTGTTGGACCACAATGGGAACATTAACCACATGAACTCTGCTGCCAATGTAGAAAATGGGGGTTAAACTCAATCAAACGTCTCCAATGAGCAGGTCTAGCATCGAAGGAACATTTTCTGAATTATTTCAGCTTGAATGAGATCTGATCATCTCTTCATTTGGAGAGGAAAGGTTCAGGATTGACGACTTCCTATAATATTCTGAGCGGGGGTCTGTTCCTCAGGGGTCTCAGCCCTTGGTTGAGATGATTGCATAGCTCTGAGAGTCGGCTCTCAGGCCCGTATACTGCCAACACAGCAGTAAGGTAAAACACTGAGGAGTCCACCACAATGTGATCCCGTAGAAATAAAATGACTCCAATCATTTTTTTTTTAGCTCTATTGCTGAAAACAACAAATTTCAAAAGCACTCATCCATCGGAGACATTCTCTGTAGCCCAGCTGTGGTACGCACATCCTCAGATTCATGAAAAGAACCAAATCTGAACTGAAAAACAAAAATAATTCAAGATGACAGATTTTCATTCATCATTTAGGATTTTTCCACAGACACAAAACACCCTCACTGAATCATCCATCTGATTTTTTTTTATATTTAAATTGTGATTAAAGCAACATTTTACTCGGTGTAACATTTATCGGCGCATGCGTCAACCGTTTAAATCATTTCAGCAAATAGTTTGAGACCAAAGCACGTTCATAAATGCTTAAACACTCAGTGAAACATTGCTTTAACTGAAATTTAAAGTGTGTACATTCCACATTTCTTCCACGATGCCGTTCTCAGCTACATTTTGTGCACAGGACGCACGGTATCGGATGTGTTAGTCAAACAGCGGGAGGTTGCTTTGTTCTCTTAACATTTTTAACAACTCGCTAAAGCCCTTCGCGTCGAAGTTTCCGCATTACTTCTGCAAATGTTTCATTTCTGATACATTTATTAATGCATGCCTGGTACATTTTTAATGGGATTCGATGGGACTGCTTGATACATATTTGATGAGGTTTTATGAGCAGGGTTTTCCTCGGAATGAGCGCCGACAGATTCTCATGAAGCAACGTCCAGAATGTTTTCCATGTCCTTTGATCAAAACAAAATAAATAAGACAGAAATAATAAGAATAATTAAAAAAGAAAAACACATGAAACGCTAAAAATGAAGGAACTCAAACACGCTTACCGACACGCACACACACACTCACTCACTCGACTTAACATCTATATATGAGCTATGTAAGTTATTGTTGTCGTTTCGGCTACAGCGCTGTGAGTGTCTGTGGAGCCATTCTGTAGCTCTGTTTGGCCCTCTGGGGACACCGTATGCTGTTCGCACTAGAGGAGCTGGTCACCCTCCTCTCGCTTGCATTTAAATATTTTAGCGCCGAGTGAGGAAGTCCGCAGAGAGGAACAGAAGACACTCTGCGCCTTGTTTCTGAGTCCACAGTGAGTGCAACACGTGTTGGAAGTGAGACCCTCCTTCCTGTTCCCCTCCTGCTCACTGCACATGCTCCGTTAGCTGCCTCTTCATTCGCTCTCCCAGTGTTCAAGCTCCACGCGTTACTGATGCAAAACAAAGACCGTACCGCCACCAGCGGCGAGTGCAAAGTTGTTTTGGCGAAGCTGGCGGCTGCTATAGCTCGCTGTGGCGCACGGGAGGCTCCAGCTTGTGTGATAGGGCGGTGAGGACCTTGTCGAACTTCTCGTAGCGCTCCGATTGGCTGCCCTCGGAGCCGCGGCTGCCCCACAGGAGGCGCATCTGGAACTCCGTCTGGAAGATCTCGTGAATCTCTGCTCGCTCCTGAAATCCTGGAGAGGGGAGGAGAGAGTCGAGGATGTCACTCTATGTAGACGACATGTTACTAAATGTTACTAAAGAAAATAACAAGATAATAAAATGAAAACAAGACTCTGGGAAAACTAAAACTAATTGGTTTCTGGCTTTATTAAAAATCTGATTAAAAATAATTAACCCAAAAAATAAATACATAAAAAAAATACATGTAAAAAGTCTTTAAAATAGTCTGTTCATCTCTTTGTTTATACAGAAGTTTACATACAGCGTATGTCTCTCTCTTCTATTAATTACCACATAGAATAACAGGATATGATTACTGTCACTCCTACTGTTCCAAATATAAAGAAAGGTAATGCTTAAATATAATGATTGTGTCTCTCGCTGCACCAAATCGACGGAGAACTCAACATGTGTGTCGTGATGTTTTAGATAAAGTTTCTCCTCAGTGCTCGAGAAGGAAACGCAGTCACTCTACCCTGTAAATGAGCTAAAGATGGATTGGGAACATAATCTTCAGCTCAACCGGTTTTAACCGTATGAAATCTTCACTTTGACTTATAGAAGTGTTGATGAACCGAGCAGACTGAGGTCAGCGTGATCGATGGCAGGACACAGCAGAAAACACAGATGTGAGCTGATAGCTATCGACAGACTGTTCAATACGGCCGTAATGGCCTAAAAGTGAGAACCAATAGTGAGGTATTAAGAATCAATAAAATCAACAGAGTAGCCACAGGACGATGATGCATCAAATCGGTAATGCTGTGACGCCGATGCTGAACATGGTTTGTGTTTACAGGAACATGGTGAGATTTAACACAATACAACATCATCAGGCTGCGGTAAGACAAAGGGATTGTTTCTTCATTTGTGGAAGTCAGTTTGAATGAAATAACAGTCGACTGTAGTATGAGCATTAAAGGACCCATATTGTGCCTCTTCTGCAAATTATTAAAAGAATGTGTCTTTCTTTTTCTGCTTAAAATACAATGTGAACTTATTTTATTTTACACCTTCAACTCCAAAAAACAATAAAAAAATGTTTTGAATCACACGGATCCTTTAAACTAAACAATGCTAATTGCAAAATGGTGGTGAGAAAATTTGCTATGAGAAGAAAAACGCGCTAACAAAATGATAATAGTAATGCACCGATGCTAAGCATTAGCATGTTATTAATTGCTAATTATCACTATATACAGCACATGTAACGTGTGGGTTTGAAGTGTGGTGGCTGGATTCACTTTTCTAAGGGGAAACAGTATGATGGAGACAAATAACTTTAGCACTTGTACTGTCCAGCTTCTTAACAACAACCTCACTTCCTCATTCCAACAGTCATGTGACCACCACAACCAATCAGAATCATGAAAGGTTTAGACTGAGATAACTGTAAATGCACTTCTCCAAAAAAACAAATCTTACTGCTTAAACATGTAAATAAGTAAGGTATGATGTGATAGAAAACCAAACCACATTTTTAGTAAATGATCTGTATAAATTACCACCAAAATGTATGTGTGTGTATATATATATATACTACAGCTGATGAGTTTTGCAGGTACAGTAATGATGATGTTGGATCTCCAAAGCTTTTCACAAATCATCCTAAGAGGAACGTGACCATCTTACCCTGCAGTTTGGTCTCTGTGTTGGTTCGGTAGATTCCCCCGTGATGTGCAATGGTCCGAGCCGCCTCTAGGTGGTACATGACCACATCTACTCCCACCTCGGCGCTCTCCCAGGGCTCCAGCGTCTCCCCGAGGGCCACACCTCGCTCCAGTAAAGACAGGACGGGAATGATGTGGGGGAAAGAGGTGTTGGACAGCGCGCTGGATTCTGGAGGCAAAGGGGAGTTTTGAGTTTAGAGGTTGTGAATAAATAAACACTTTCTTTTTTGTGTGTGTTTGTGAAACTCACACCTGAGCTCTCACCTTTGCCGTCGTTCATATTCTTCATGAAGGGTTTAAGTTTCTTTTCATACAGAATAGCACCCTCTGTGTGTCTCTGGCGTAAAGTTACCCACGTCTGCTCCAGGCGGGAAATCTGAAGCAGCCAACGACACGACATAAATCTAAAGAATGCACCGGACTCTAAACTTTAATGGGCTTGAATGTAATATTGCTCTTACCTGCGGCATCTCCAGGGCTCTCATCACAGCAGCGAAGCCGAACATGTTGCCCAGATTGCTTTTCAACTCTGCTGCTAATTGGATGGTCTTGTGAAGGAGCGCCGCCCTCTCCTCCGTGCTCCCCGTGCAGCCGAGGAGGTCCACGGCCATCATGATGGACATGGTGTAGAACCTGAGGAACAAGATGGCGCTATTTGATAAAACATCTTAGGAAAAGTGAATAGCTGCTGATAGGAAAACCATCGTGGCAGAGTGTAGTGATGTTCAGAGAAATGGGATCTGATGGAGCTTTTAGATGCTGATGAAATATACGTTCTTTAAAGCAGTTTGCTGAATAATTTTACAATGAGGGACAAAGTTAAATAAGAGGAAGCAGTCACATTTAGATTTACATCCCTTCCTTGATGCTATATTGAGAGATATCTACAATAAAAGTGAAGACGATGAGAGCGGAATTAGCAAAAGAGTGAAAAAAACAAGCATTTGTACCTCTCCAGTAGGTCAAGTCTCAGCTGGTGTCCATGTGGTAGTGTCAGTAACTCCAGCCCTGAGGACACTCCCATCATCCTTTGCATTTCTGAGGACACACCTAATATTCTCGCAACCTAGCAAAAAAAAAAAACATGTGTGTTAAGCATGTTTGTGCGATTATGTTTATGTTTGCACACGTCTTTGTTTGTGATTCTGCAAGTCAGCACGGGTGAATGTGCACTTAATTGCTCTTCTATGTTTGGGAATGTGCTCTTGCTGATTGCGTCTATTTGTGTGTGTGTTTGTTTCGTACCGTGCAGTCCACCATGGTGATGTGTTTAGCCGCGGTCCTTGCATCCACCTCAGCCAGCAGCTCTTTGACTCTCTTCAGCACAGACATCTCCAGAGGCTTGTTCTCAGCTGGCATAAGGCAAGACTCGTACCTGTACAGGGATGAGTAGGACATGTTAGAAAATCCAGAACCATGGCATGGAATACCAGAAAAGGGATTTCTACAACTAGAATAGTTTAGTTGTAGCTTATTTCTGATTTCCTGAACACCTAAAGTTGTGTCCACGTGCGATAATATCCAACTACAGTAACTTCCAATGTGCTTTTATTGTTACCTGACAACCTGCTGCCATGTTTTAGTGGATACTAAAAAGGTTATGTTTTATTAAGTTGTAGGAGCAGACTACTATGCCACTCATAAAAGAAAAAAAATGACAGAAAAGAAATCCCTAACTTTAAGATAAAACCATCCCCACATCTATGATGGAGCTCAGGACTTGACATGAGGACGGTCGCTTTTCAACAAACTGTGATTCTGTGTGTGATGAAAAGTACACGATGCTGTTAGGTCCTTATTGATCTTGTCTCTGATAACTTATAATTATAAGTATCTAATGAGGGTGCTGCTGTTGTTCCACATCCTGCTGCTACTTTAATAAACTCAGAGGAAAAACTCGTACAAACACTAAACTTCAGCTCTTGTTAACCTTTCGCAAAAACTTGATTTACACTATTTATTAATGGGTCTCATTAATCTGAGCTTCATCACAGTAAAGTTTTATTCTTATGGACATTTTACTTTGTAATAGATGTGATGTTTTTGAACCGATATCGGTGCTGAACTGTGGAACCTTCCAGAAAGTCACTTGTGACTGCATGCAGTTCAGATTTCTGCTGTGTTGAAAGTGATGCTGAAGTGTTACTTGGTCCGACCTGGTAAAATTGCTGTCGTGACTTTTGCAGAAAAGTGAATTCAGACAAGAAGCCAACACACTCCGACGCCGTCCGATGAAGGGAAAAGATTGCATGTCTGACAGGGGCTAAAGTTTTGGAACCTCTAAAGCTGCACAGATGCACAGTTTTTAACTTTAAATTGATTTTATGGCTCATATTTCAGAGTTAAAAAATCTCCAAAATATAAATAAATGTGCCAGTGCTCTCTAAGGGACGAACTATTAAGTGATGAAATGGCTCCTGAATGACCACAAACACACTGTAAGAGTCATTTCTGCGGTGCTGTTTCATGTTAGTTATGTGCTGTCATGTATACTTTACGTCAATATCGGTAGACATGCTGATGCATCAGTCCGGCTCAATCTATCCTGCCACAACATCAGCTGTTATATGGGATGAGATGTGCCAGTCATTGGCTCACGCTGGTGCCTCAAACATTCGTAGCCTTTCCTGCCTTAACTGCCAATTTCCTCAGTAGTGCTCACAGCGATTTAGCAATAATCCCCCTGCACCAGAATTTCACAGAGGACGCGCAGACATCCAAAGGTGCTGCCTGCGCTATCGCTGCTGCCAGCTCAGTGTCTCCGACCGTTTCCCTTTTACAAGCCTCATCTGCTGTGTCCTCCCAGGGCGCAGTAAGCCCAATAAAATACAGTATCTGCTGTGTCTCTGACCACAGCACAAAGTCTGCCCTCGGGCTGTGTCCCACAGGATTATCAGCTGTTTACTCAAGCCTGTTTTCCAGCCTCTGTTCAGTCAGAGTGCGACTGCAGTGCCTGTCAAAACTGCCTCTCTCCTATATGTGTTTGCCCTCTGTGACAAAATGTCAGCATGTGTATTGACCTTTGAATTGAATATGTTTCGGCGCAGAGAAACGCTGAGAGTCACAGGTGTAGGCGCAGTGGGGGAAATGGTAGCAGATACATCACAGGTTGCATTAATCGAATTTGATTTGGCTCAGAATTCACTTCAGCTACTGTGGGTTCTTTAATCTGACCACACAACCTCCTCTCTCTACATTTTTCGTACCCCTTGCCTCACAGAAGTTTGTGCTCCGTGGTCGTCTTTCTTCGAGTAGCTGCCTTTTGGCCAAGACTTTATCCTGCTGCAGCTGCCCCGCATTAATCCCACGGTATGACAGGTTTGTCTGGTCATCTATTCAGTAGGAATTCTTTTTATATTTACTACACCCACCAGTCTGACTCAACCTCAAGTCCAGCTTCCAGCAACTTACAACACAATAAACCATCCGCATGTTTGGTCGTATTTCTGCACCTACTGGACAGCAATTAATCAGAGGTGTCCTTTGGAAGCTACATGAAATACAGGTTTGGAAGTGCGTTTCATACCTGGATGGCCTGAATGAGGAAGCCGTCTCCACTTGTGGGGCGCTGAACATCCCCTCTCCTTCCTCTCTCGCTCCCTCCTCCCTCCCTTCCTCCACTCGCAACCGCTCTACGTAGCTCTTAGCCGGGGGTTTGGGAGGCCCGGAGGGGCAAGGTCTGAGGTCACAGTAGCTCCCTGCTGTTTCTGAGGAATGCGATTGGTAGCCGGGATGATGGGCGGGCGAGGAGTGAGCCGAGTGAGAGGTGTGAGCGGGGAACTCTGCGGGGTTGTTGCTGGCCGAGGGGCTGAGCTGAGGGTCGCTGGAGCGCCGCATCACGGGGGAGGGAGGGACGACGGCCAGGACACGTCCGCCTGAGTGGGCTCTCTGCCTGGTGACTGGAGAAGAAGCAGCCTTAAAATCTCTGAAGAGTGTGATTTTGTGTTGGTGTGTCTGAGCCCATGTATCTCCGGCACTTACTGGCACTGTACGCAGGAGACAGTGGAGTCTCTCCAACAGGTGACAAGGGGCAGCGGTACTCCTGAATCTGGTCCATGCTCATCGCACAGTTCCGCATTGCGTCTTTGTGGTGGTGGATGGTGGACGGGCTGCAAAAAAAACAGCAGATTTACAGTGTTAAAAATCTTTGAGTCTGGATTTAAAGTGTGTCAGGATGCTGAAGGGAACCTCACAAAGCAGGAGTGGTGCGATTAGGGATGTAAAGGTTGATCATTTCAGAGTGAGAGAAGAGGGAGACTTTTAATGTGACTGTCATGGTGAACACATAATTCGTGTTATTTTTAAACTAAAGCCATGTTTGGGATTTAGAAGCAGGAGCAGAAACATGTAGTACAGGGAAAATATTGAGAAAACAAATGCTCAGCTAATATATTTTTTTTAAACTAATTAACACTGGGAGCTGTGCTCACCAATCATCCCCAAATATTTTCTCCTTCCATCCTTGCTTTCTGAAGCCCAGTGTGTCCTTGGCATTGATTTTGTCCTCTGCTCATTTCCATTTTATAATCTCTATGAGGCACAGCATTTATTTCCACTGTACACAACACATTTCTCTGCTCCTCCTTTCAATGTCGACTCAATTTCAAGTTTCAAACGGCCTCGTCCCGTTTGAAACTTGAGCGATCCGGTGAACGAGTCATTTTGCGACTTGACTTGAGGACTTGATGCTCATCACTACTGGGGGAGGAGGTGCTAATGGTGTCTGTGAAGTGAGGGGGGGGACTGCAGGAATGTGGGAGGTAGGTGCACTAGTTCAGTGCTCAACAACAACACACACAGACACACACACAACCTGCAGTCGGCCACAGGTTCCGGCTCTGGTTCTGCCACTGGTGTCTCAACTGGACTGGGACTGTCTGAGTCGCTAATCATGTGTACGACATAAAGCGACAATGAAACAGCGATAAATTGCTTGAAGACTGCAGGAATAGAAATGTCAGGTTATGTTTTAGGAACTGCAGCTCCGCTCATCTCCTCTCCTGGCTCACCTGTGAGGTATCATCTTCTCCGTGGTCAGCCCGTCGGTCATGGTGACGCTCCTCCTCTTGATGTACGCCCCCCTCTGGCTGGATGGCGAGTAGGCCGAGCCCTGCTTGCTGTTGGAGAGGGCGAAGGTGGCCTCCAGGTAGCGCAGCGGGAGAGTTCTGCTGACTGGACAGTAGATGTGGACAGCGCTGGACTGGGAGACCGGCTTGCGTTGGCCCACGTAAAACCGCACCAGCTCCTGAACCGAGTCGAAGCTATCGGCCTCCAGCACGTACTGCACCTGGAGACGGAGATGCAACAGAATGTAATAAAGACATATTGACTGTACTTTGAGGAAATTGGAGGAAATAAGCTCTCTTTGTTGTGTGTGGAATTTCTTGGAGTGAGGAGCAAAAAAAAATAAAAAATCCTGCTGTTTTCTTTTAAATTCTGTGCTTAAAAACCCACAGCGTAGTGATCTGCTTCAAACACATAGAGAAGAAACAGACTCGTCGACATGCAGCGTAGGAATTAAAAGCTTGGAGGCAGCGAGTAGCGGCGGCGGCACAGCTGGTCACCGCCATACACCTGCACCAAATTAGCCTCCACGTTGTAATTATCTCAATCATTAGCGGCAACAAGAGAAAATAGGGCTTTTTTAAATGGACGGGACTTGGCAGGTATAAGTAAAAAGACATTCAGATGTATAGGCACAGATCTTGTGCTGGTTTCAAAGAGCCTATTGAAGTGAAACAGGAAGGAGGAGACTTAACTAGACGGACTAATAGCATTAATGACGGCCAGATTCCATTCGAGGATGTTCTCAATGGGAGACGTTGTTAATGGTATTAATTAAACCTGCTTTTCCTGAGAAAACTGATGAGCTCCTTTGGTTTCATTCACACTCTATCACCTGAGCATTCGTGTACATTGTAGAGACGTATGCCACACTTTTGTTTTAAGTTATGGATCACATGGAGCATCATTCTCGCCCGCCGACCTACGACCTGCACCTTCATCCAGCTGCACAACCGTTTGTTTACACGAGTGAGGAGGGCCGACTGTCTGGAAACTCCACAGCCAAATGCAACGGCCGATTACCCCGTCGGACCATTACGTGAATGATAGTGAGGCATTTCAGTTTGATGGTTGGCCGCATTTATTGGAAGAAGGAGTCTGCAGACGAGGAGCTAAATCAAATCGAAGACGAGACTCCGAGAACGGAGGCAGAGAGACAACAAGACATTTTAAAAAACGACAGCAGGAGTCTGGGAAACTGGTGGTTAGCGATGTGCGGTTACAGAAAGTCAGTGTGCAATAGGTTGGGCTGCGACTTCCCCTAAACAAACATGAACTAGACAGTTTAGATGTGCAGTAATCTAAATCTATCATACATCACTCTGCACCCAATTTATATGTGACAAGTAGCAACAGGCACCGGCAGGAGAGTCAAAGAGGATCACAGAAAAACACGGTCTGTCTATAGTAATCCTATAATATAATCCTTTAATAGGCTATCTCTGTGATCGCACACCAAGGAGACATGACAGATGTAGTTTTAGATGTTTTAGTTTTTAGTAGCTGAACGCTCAGCTCCTGTTACAACGAGGGAAAAGTTGCTCACAGTGCCGGATATCTGGTTTGCTACGACCTCGGAGGTAAAGTTACGCACAGAACCACGCATGGAAACAAACAAAAGCTTTTTTGGCATCTGAAAATTTAAAACGAATCCGGCGCCCTTGTGTTTCCAAAACTCTCCGTTTTTCCTGTTTACGTGTCAATAATTCAGACGGAGTTTCTGAAAATCTTCACCCTTGATGCCGTTTTCCTTTTTTTATGACCTACATTTGGACAAAAGGCCAAAACACATAGAAAAAAGCTAAAAAAGATCAGTTTATGTGTTAACAAGGCAGCTGGTTTCTGTTCTGGCATCAAGTAAAGCAGAGCAAGCGGACCAACAGTAGCAGTAAATCATCCTGGACTGCGCTTTCTGCCTACAGAATATCAAGTAAATCCATAACAACAAAGGTTTAACAAGGTAAAAGGCCTCAAATGTGAGCAAATCAAACCTAATAGGCTTCAAAAGATGAATACGCACCTTAGTCTCATTGGATTTGACCAGGACTTTACTGATCTTGAAGTGCAACACCTCGTTATCCCATCGACAGGTCAGAACGTAGTCGCCCACGCTGGTCAGAGAGTCCCGGACGAGGAAGTCTCCGTTACGCAAAACCAGAGTCTCCGACACCTGGACAGAGACAACATGCATGTGGTTTAACGGTACAAACTAAGAGGAAATAAAAGCTCCCAGCATACAGAGCAAACTTCTGAGCCACAGCCTGCGTGCGAACATTTTGCTTCTGACACTTTTGACTGTTGAATAATTGAATTTAGAGAATCGTGATTATTTATAACAATGCCTCAGGACAGTTTGTGTTGCTGAACAAACACAACTCTCTCCCTCACTGCCAAACTGTCTCGGCGACACGCAGTTTGAATTGGCAGTGATGGATAAAAACGCCAGAGACAATGGCTGTAATGACTTTCTAAAGACACACTTTATGGAGTTCAGCACTATTGTAAAAATGAAACTTGTTTTGAATTTATCGACAAAACAAGCAATCCAGAAAAGCAATGTCCCGTTCATTGTCAGTGGAACAGCTTCGGGCTGTACATCTTGCTGATACCAAACACTGCAGATGCGTCTCTGGTTTCTGCGAGAAGAGAGATCACAAATATTGATGTAATAGCCGAGGAGTAAAAGAGAAACATATCTCACACGGCGCAGCATCCCTTTTGAAAGCACCTGCAAAGAGGCTGCCGTTGAAAGCAGAAGGTGTGCAGAGCTTTAAATTCATTCAACTCAGGAAACCAGGCATGAAATATGCAATGCAACACAGCCCAAGGTAAACAGTGTCACAGACCAGCAGGAGGCAGCAGATACACAGATCAAACGCTCGAAACAAGTGCAGCATCGTCTTATCTCGCTCATTTTCAAACATGATTCTGTTGAGGTGAGTTTCTTTTCTTTTCTATTTTTTTATCTGATCCCTCGCTGCATTTAAGAATAAATCATGTTTTATGCTGACAGTTTGGTGGGAAAAGTATATAAAATAATATGACTAAAGGCAAACCTTCATTGGGCCATTCACCTGTGAGCGTATTAAAGTCTTAACTTCAAAAGGAAGATGAGAGGAACAGAAGGAAAGACAGGGATCAGGAAGGAGGATGGGATTTAAGAAAGCTAACGTACAGTAGCGGCCCACAGGGTGCGAGTGAGATCTAGTCACTAAGTATTGTTTTGGTTACCAGAGGGGGGGACCGGGGGTTTCCCCAAGTTTACACTGGGGCGAACCCATGAATAAATGAATATTTTATGTAAATTAAAAGAGGAAAGACTCACAGATGGCTGATTTGAATCCTTGTCTGTGTTTATGTGCGTGTGAAAGAGAGACAGAGGTTGATCGGGCGACAGAGCCGTCTATGAACAAGTGCCCTCCACATGTGCATGGAGAGAGAGTGTGTGTGTGTGTGTGTGTGTGTGTGTCTCTGCGTCTTAGTCACCAGCTGTGAAATTCAATTGCGTACATCAGCAACACACGCAGCTGTCTGTTTGGCAGAGTTTCCCCTCCTTCTTGAACGCTAAAGCAATTTCTACTGAGCTGTGACAGATGATGGGATTCATTAATCAGTGTCATTCTGTGTGTAAAGCATTTAAACTGTGCTTTCAAAGCCAGAGATGTTGGCCAAGCGATCGCTCAACTAATGCTGCCGGTTGACAACCGCGTCAAGCCGCACAAAAACGCCACCGTGTTTGTGTGTTTGTCTCGTTGAGTTGTGGCTTTTTTAATACGTACGATGAAACGTGGGAGGTTGAAATACAAACTGCAGCAACAGTACGTCTTTATTTATTTAAAATTTATTTCACCGCAACAAGGACTGAGAGTCTGTGAAGTTTTTCATTCATATCTTAGTGTATTTCTTGATAAAAACTGGATTGTTTCTAATGCCGACAAGTGAACAATTAGGTTTTAGTTAATTATAAAAACACATTTGAGCAGATTTAATCAAAAAACAGTGTAAACTAGAGCGGATATTTTCATCTCTGGCAGTAACAGTTAAGCCAACAAATACTGAAAACCCAAAGTGGGGTTTGAAAATCGCTTGGTCTGTTGATTTTCAGTAATCAGTGACAGAGAAAACTAGCGCATATCATCTCATCTGTGAGCATCTACCCATCTGTTCCATCCATTCAGGACTTCCAGTGTTATTCTAGTGTTACTGTGCATGACTGGATGGCGCTCATACCTCTCTGGGTATGTGTCCATGGTACCAGCCATGGCTCCTGATGTCAGCGGGGCTCAGTTTCAGCTCCTCCTCCAGCTCCTTACGAAGTTTCTCGGGGGGAGACTCCAGCAGATACTTCTCCTTGGAGAACTGATGTGAGGCAAACAAGAGGAGACAACAACGGGGGTGAATTTGTGCATCCGATTCATCACGCGCAGCTGCGTATTTGTATAGACGCGATCTATATATATAACTTTTATTTATTCAGATAAATCCTCTTGTGATTTATTTACAAAGGAGATTTGTGGACATGCGTACATGTATAACTGCATGATACAGATCATCCTACTAGTACAATGATGTAGAATGGGTGTACGGTGCAACAGAACGTCTCTCACATGCATGCACACAAACACACACCTGTGTTACAGAAGGCAACACTGCAGGGAAGCGTCACTGCGTGCTGCCTTCCACACAAACATGCACCCACTCAGTGAGCCGCACACACACACACACACACACACACACACACACACACACACATGCACGCACACACACCCACATACCAGAAACAATCCAATCGACCCTGACCTGATTACTAAGAGGAAGAAATCATCATGAGCAAGCTCTTATTGTTCTGTGTGCTGCAGAGACCCAGCTTTAGCCTTTAAGTGTGGCCACTCAGGACGACTTGTATTAATGCCAAATACACACTCACACACATTAACACACCAGATACACAAACAAATAGATATGTATAAATATATATTTGCTCTTGAGCTGTGCGTAAGTGATTATTGAGACCTAGAAGCTCCAGAAAGAAACCTGAGAAATGACAAGCTCTTGATTTATCTTGCATTTGTCCACGTGGTAACACAATTCATTAAGAACTCGACATTTTGCATCAGCTACTAAACACAGTGTCTATTCAAGCACTCAATTTGCTTAGGTAAGGAAGAAAAATGGGAAATCCCACAACGGGACGCCGATGTTTTGCGAAGACACTGATGACTGCGAAAAAAGCCCGAGTTCAGACAAACAACCTAAGATGATTAAAACAGAGGCCGCACATACGCAGATGCGAGCGCTAACACAAATATGCACAAAACAGAGAAATCCACACAGGAATAAACAGCGAAAGGAAATCATCTCGACTCTGCCAATATGAAGAGAAATGAGACTGGAGACCAAAATAAACAGTAAACAGCCTTGTCGCTAAGGCTGGTCCCGTCGCTGCTCCTAATATTTTCCCTCTATCAGCTCCTCTCTCTCTCTCTTTGTTTTTGGGGTCAATGTTTTTCTCTCAGTTATATTTTTTTCCCTCTCGCCCGTAGTTTCTCTCTTCAATCCCCACGATTGAAAAAAGTTTCCGACTTTGCCGAGAGTTTTGTAGCAGACCGAGGGGCGAGGAGACGGGAAGCCGGTGATGATGTGTGTGCACAAAGTGTGTTTCTGCCTCCCCGTGTGAGCCTGCGAGTGTGATACGATGAACCAAACATTCGATCTTATCGTCTCCAGGTCACCGGCAGATGAAATTATTAACTTCCTCCACTCCTCGCTCCTCTCCCACCTCTTTTCCGCCTCTCTTCTCCAATCCTCCCGGGAAGATGGGAGGAATATCACCGCCGAGGCTCACTCTCCCAGATTAGATTTGAGGTGTCTGTGTGTGTGTGCGCGAAGGGGAGAAGAGGCCAATAAAAGAGCAGAGGGGTCAAGTGTGCAGTTATTGCTTTTCCTTGTCTCCGTGGAAACCCAAGAGGGGGCCTGCCGCTGAACTCGTGCTTCGACAATGGAGGTGGTGCGTACGTGTGTGTGTGCGTACATATGAAGGGTTATGAAGGCAAATTGAAATGTCAACAGGCCTCTATTTATGATGCGGTTCATGGAATAGGCCGACATCGGAGGGGACACGCTGACAGAAAGACCGAGAAATGCACCGACGATAAAAAAAAGTGGTTTGACAAGGACGCGCAAAGACACGGAAATGATCGACTCTCTGTGCGGTAATGTATGAATAAAGAATAAAGAGTGTCCCGCGCACACACTAGCAGCCATCTGTCTAAATCATCCTATGTTAATATCGCAGCGGAATTCATCTTTGTGCACCTTCATCTTTGTGAACCCCTTTTGTGTTGTGAGTGCTTGCTTCGGTGGAACAACACAACTACAGACAATACTGGGGGGTGGGGGGGATGAGTTGCAAGAGCTCAGGAAGGGTGAGAATAAAGAGCAGAAAATTCTATTTAGGAACAACGTGGTACCTGATGACAAAAGGGAAAGACACAAAGGAAATGAGGACAATGGAAGACACTGACGAAGCCCAGTATGATATTACTGCTACAGTTACAATGACTGGGAGTCACTGTGCCACTGAGTCCTTGGCTGCCGTCGCAAAGTGGCACCGTGGGCCCGTCGGTGTGAAAAGAAGAGTACAGTCGCAGCACATCCGCTGAATGTGTGCTTCTGCTACTAATATTAATAGTAATTCTTCTGCCGCTCTTAGTCCTACTCATCTTAACACTTGTATTTATTATATTATATGCAGATGTCACATTTATTACATGCTTGGATTACTGTTCGCACCACTACAACCACGATATAGCCACTATCACTGCTATCAGTAATGCGACTCAAGCTGCTGCTGCAATTAGCATCCCACTTCTTTTACTATTTCTACTGTTCCTACAAACACAATGACTGAATCTACTTTGACTGTTAGCATTATAAAGGCTACTACTCTGACTTCAGTTAACACGAAAGACAACAGAAATGGCTGGAAGTCATTGGCTGTGACCGTCCAGCAGTGAGATGGTCTCACAAGAGCCTCTAAGAATGATCGGTGTCTCCTGATGCCGTTGGAGCAGTTAGCAACACGTTCATGTGCACACAGAGATGAAATTCTGAGCAACAAAAGATCAAGACTTTGCAATTTTCCAAATGTTGTTGCTGTCTGCAATGGTGGAAGTTTATTGTGCAAAAACCTTGTTCGTTGATGGTGTCATGATGCTGTAGCTTGTTTTGGAACAGATTTTATTCAAGGAGTTGTTAAAGAATTACGAAAAACGAGTTCATTTGAAAAACAGATAACTCCATTTTTGTAGATGTTCAGAAAACTTTTTTTGTTGTTGTTTGCTTGAGATAAAATCAATCAAACTGAAGTTGAGTGGATTTGACTCAGTAAAAATGACAAAAATAGGGATAACTTATTGATATAGTCTCAGGTAGATGATAGAAAAGTGGGTTTTCTGAATGTTTGTGAAGATGGAATTATCTGTTTTTGCAAATGAACTCTTCACTTGTATCCATAAACAGCCTCTGGGCCCCAAAAGCCAACATGCAAGTTACATACATTCTTTCCAGCAGCCAGCAGGGGGCGACTCCTCTGGTCGCAAAAAGAATTGCATAGAAGTCTATAAGAAGACGGCCCTACTTTTACCTCGATTTGTTGCCTCAATAAACATTCTTCAAATCTTCAAACCAGTAGTTTCAAGTCTCCTTCAGTGCAGCATAATGCATGTTAAGCACATTATGGTCGCATTTAGAGTGAAATAGATAACAAGGCGGAGTGTGTTTTACTGCCTTGTGACTGACAGGTCACTGCTGCATCTTCTAGAACAAGAGTCAACAAATCGATAGGTGACGTCACAGAGGATACGTCCATCTTTTATATACAATCTGTGCTTATACAGTCGTGACTCGATAATCCGACACTAAATGTAAAACCTTCTTTTGTGTCGGACAGCAAGATGGAGGTGGCGATACAAGGAGGACTTGATGCTTGATGGCTCATTTGTTGTTGATGTTTATAGTTGTTATAATAACTAGTGTGTTATTAGAACACTACGCACCGCTGGATTTCACGCCCAATTGACTGGTGCGCTTGTGCACGGGCCTGTTGGTTGACATCAAAGGTAAATAAATCTGTCAGATTGTTCAGTCAGATAATACGCCATTATCCTTATTTGTGAAGTAAAACGTCATGTCGGAGTCAGAACCCAAGGCTGTCGGTATGTTAAGGGTTTATGGGTTCCGTTCGTTTTTTCCTAAAAACCTGTCGGACAGCAAGGTTTTCAGATTGTTAAGGGTCGGATTATCGAGTCACGACTGTACTTTTAAATACTACACGACTACCAGTAGTTTGTGTCCATGCTTGGTATTATCATGCCTCGTCTTTTCTTTTGTAAATAACTTTCATATCTATGTAGAGAAAAACATTTAAAAGTGCCGTGAAAGTCACTGTTTCTACTACAGCTGCCAACAATAAGTTCTGTTCTGCTCTTATTACTGTAACTGTAACTCCTGCTTTTGTCACGGCTGCTATTTTCCATTTACAGCGCGGCGGCAAAGAAAGAACTCGAGCACAAACGCACACTTTATATAAGCAGCCGTCTCCGTGCCGTGTGGGTCTGGTGGAAGCTTACAAGAATATGAGCCGATTTCATTTGCAGCATGTGTATACAGCGAGCACTGTTTCTTCAATGCAACACAGGCCAGCGAAAACTGTCAGACCAAAGCACCAGAAACCAGTTGAATTATTTGCCAACAGGCGGACGGACAGGAAGGATAACAGAAGCCGACGCGGCGCAGAACAGTCGGAGACAGACAGACAAAACAAGTAGCATGCATAAAGACAAGACATCAGACATTCAGGAAGGCGCAGAGGCAGACTGACAGACAACAGAAACTCATTAATGTAGACAGAGAGGCAGACATGCAGGAAGACAGGTAGCCCATTAGCGGATGAGAGAGTTTAGGCAATTTAGCAGCTGATGCAGGACTTTGCTTCCCCAGGGAGGGTGAGCAGAGGCAAACTGATTGGTGTGTGTGCACAATTACAGTGTGTGTGTGTGGGTGTGCGCTCATCCATCTGTAGGCATGTGTGCATATGTGCGAGTTCTACATGGGTGGCGCTATTAATGGATTGTACTCTGTTTTTTTTGGGATGGAGGAGAAAAAACAAAAAACCCCACCAGGTTGACGAAAAGAGTGAAACTATAAGGGTTAAGGGTTGATGTGCACGTGTGAAAACGAGCTATAGATAACAACACGGTGTGATTCATCACCTTATTTACACCCGACACGCACTCGAGCCTCCGTTCGTGCCAATTAGAGGGTTTTGTCTCATGACATCACCGCACGCTCCCGGAGAG